CCATTCGCTGCTTCCACTTTTTGTTCTCTGCTTTGCTTTAAGGTATGAGAGAAATTTGGGTTTCTGTCCAGGGAGCTGATAAACAGAAATTAAAATGGTTTCTTCCCATCTCTAATTTAAAATTAAAAAGTGAGCTAAAGTATTTTTCTTAACATTACTTGAACAGTAAGCAAATATTTCTCTTCTGGTATCAATCGGAGAACGAGCATGAAAAAATATTTTGTCTGCTGGTCATGGGATGCAGGTGAGATTGGAGTGGCATTATATCATATTGCACTGAGAGACAATAAGGTGAAACATTATCTTGATAGTTCTGAAAAAGCTATGAAATATAAGAATCACTGCTAAATAAGTTCTTTAACCTTGCACTATAGATGCTTAAGATTTTGTTCTTTTCAAGTGGGATGACAAAAGACCAAAAATATTTCTAATACAAATGTCTAATGCATTACTGTCATAAATGTTCTCTCAATGTGTATATATAGAAAGAGAACAATGGGCTGCAAGGTACTGCATATTCTGATCAAATTCCCCTACCAGCTGAATAAGTGATCTGAAAAGCACCTGTTTCAGGCCTAGAATCTGTATAATCATGTTGTTCAATTTTTGATCACTGTCAAAATTGGCTGTTGTTTTGCTGTTTATAATTCCTATGTGAGTGTTTTATATTGGCAAAGGTCTTTAATAGGAGGTTGCTAACTCCCCTTTCCCACATATTAACTGTGTAATAGGCATAATTTAACATGATCAAAATTTGGCAAAATCCCATAAAGCAAAAGAAATAAATGACTTATTTTCACTGTTCTGAAAGACTAGAGGTAGGATAACTCGCAGTTCTGTAGCTCTGTACTAGTGCAGGTAAGCAAAACGTTAATGACATTTGTTGCTGCTAATATTTTTAGGTCACTAATGACCCTTTATCAGGTATTTTTGGGATAGGTATGTAAGCAATAACAGCACATGAAATGCATTGTTGATGAAAATAATGCACATCAGTTTGAAAGAAATGTTACTGTATCTGACATCTGTGCATGCATCCAACAGTTCAAAAATAGCTGTCCAATTATGGACTTGTACCTGAGTTTTGCCTGGTGTGAAAAATATGGATATGCAGAAGAAATGAAATAAAAATAAAAGACTACTAAAACTTTTTTAACCTATGAAGATGTATTGAATTTGGTCACATTACATAGTGTAATAAATGTACATGATATTTGTAATAAAAGTTTGAGTATAGCATGTTCTAAAACTGACTCCAGAATTGATTCTTATGTGAAATACAGTATGGGTTGTGTCTTGGTTTAAGCAGCTTAACCAAACCCAACCAAAAAACCTCAGCAGTGAAGAGAGCTCCAGACTCTGTTCTGGTAAGAACATGCTTATTTCCAATCTGGGGTTGGATAACTTCAGTCTGCAAATATTCCCAGTCTTGGTATACTGTCTATTGGATTGCAGACCCCATTACTAAAATTTCCTACCTATGTTCATTTGTAAAACTGGCTGTTTTCAAGTCATACCTTTCATTTATTTTACTAGTGTTGAAACTGATTGATTTCCTTGGGTTCTGATATGAGATGCTCCATACTGTTCTAAATTTTTTAGTCTTTTCTACACTCTTTTAGTTTATCAGCCTTATCTAATTAGCCTTATTAGTGTTACCTCTGTAAAAGATGGTTTCCTTACTCAACTCTTATACACCCAGTCATCTTATAATCCTTTCACTGTTGTTTTTTGTAACTAGCTTATTGTCTATCGTGGTCCTGAGCTCTTTTCAGAGGTTTAGGTCTCCACACAGGGTTCAGTCATGTCCTGTGCTTCTACAAGAATGAGTTTTCATCTAACAATATTGTAAAATAAATTGTTTTCGCTTTGCTTTTGAAAAGGGGTTTTATGGAACAGGAAAGACTTCACACAACAGTGCTGATAAGTGGAATGAGACCTGGAAAAACTCAGGAGTGGAGCAAGAAGAGCTTATGACAGCTTTATATTAGAATGGGCACAAATAAGAAAATAGCATGCAAATTTGTCTAGAAAATAATTTGGAGCTCTGTCTTTATAATAGTTCAGTTAAACAGAGACATTTGCAGCTGATAGGTGTCTTCATGAAGGGTGACTAGATTGTGCAGTTTGGTATGGAGTTATATGGATAAGGGCATATGAATGATAAGAAGATCTGCCATTGATAAAAGGGTTTTCAGAAATGGTGAAGTAACTTGTTTCAGTGTCAGAACCAAATTAAAATGTACAGGAAATCTTAACTTCTGTCTAGTCTATGCTGAAGCAATTTCTTAATGTTGTTTAAGACAATGTGAGGAATTGTATGAGCTGAGAGGGATGATCACAATGCTGTTTTACCCATTAATATTAGACTAATCTCACCTTGTAATAGAATATCAACATTTAATATTCTGGTGTATAAGACTGACCTAATCTTAGGTACAGAAAATATTGGGTCTTGTGAAATGGGGGAGATGAATCATGCAAGCTCTAGAATCTTCTGAGCCATGTCAGTTCACAAAGGACGTGGGTTTTGCCAGTCTCAAAGTAGGTGACATAGCCGATTTTCTCTTCAGGAAATTTTCAAATAATGGTTTATAGGGACTCTTTGGTGGTAAAATTAGAAACATGTTTAAGCAGAAAGACATAAAATAAATAGCTAGGGAATTCTAGACCCTACACATGAGAGTTTCTCCACGTATGGCAGTGATAAAACATATAGAAAAATGAACAGCAGAATGATGTAATAGCAATTTTAGTAATGTCCTGAATCGATCCTACTTATCTATAGTATTCAGTGTGAATTCTACTTGCAACAGTGTTGTACCTGTTAGGCAGTTTCATAAAGGCACTATGTTTTTTATATAACATTTTGTCCCTTTAGAAATTATCATGACGCATGTCAGGAGCTTTCACACTGAAAAAAATATGTCACATTAGCTTCCAAGTTTCTGATTGTCTAAATAACACGGTAACTCAACATACAGCTGTCTGGCATTTTGACAGTACAATAACCCATAATTCTTTCTGCCACTCAACACTTCAAGGTTAGCATTTTGTAGTTTGCTCTCAAGGAGTATTCATTTAAATTTTCAAGAGGCAAAGAGTTGAATGCTGTCTTATACTGCTCTTTTGATTTATTTTTTATTTACTTTTCCACTGTATTAAATTTTTTTAACCATATATACATGTATTTTATTTTTAACCTGCAACTTTCCAGGAGGTAGGATGTTCATCTACATCTCTGTTTTTCAGAAACTGGGGGCAGTGATTATTTACAGCAGAACTTGCTATAGCAGAAGTTTATCTTGCATCATAGGGAAGAATCACCTGCCTTGGTATATTGCAGGGGACCACAGATTGCTTAGATATTGAACAATTTTTTTCACAGGAAGCTGTGAAGTGAAGCAGTGGCCTTTGGGAAAAGCTGCTTTCAATTCCAAACTTACATCTTAAGATTCTGAATGAAATGGAAATTTTGACATTCATAATCAGGCATTTGAGCAAAGTTTTGTTTGTGAACTTAGTATAGTTTCATCTTGTTGTGACTGGTTTGGAAATTAATTGATAATGTTGGGGAAATCATTCTTATAAATTCTTAGATATAGATTATTTTTCTAATAGCATGAAGTTTCTGTTGAGAAAATGGAGGCTAGCAAGTAATACCAAATGTACATTAGAAATTTGCATATTGTCGGTTTTGGTGTAGATGAAAATCTAAGTATTTGGTGGAAGTTACTCCTTATTTAAGTGCTCTGGCCTGCATTTGAGCATATCAGTATGCATATCCAAAAGACCATCTGCCATTTCTGACTGAAATTCTTGGTAAAGAAAACACAGAAAGGTAACAGAGACTGAACATCTATAATTTTTGGAACACTCCACCTTGGGCAAATTTTTAGAATCATTGTCCTATTAATACAGACCTATATGTACACATTCATTTTCAGTGAAGACAGATATAAGGCCAGGAATTGTGTTAGTTTTTCACAGATCCACATATTAAAACTTGACCTAAACATGTCAGAACCTCAGAAACAGCAGTGCTGCTGACATTAATTTTGTGGCTACTTTAAAATTAGTGTTGCAAGCCACAACAGATATATATTTATGCTCAAAATGATTACTGTATTGAAAAATATTTATGTTTTAGAAAATAAATAAGTTTTTTATCCTGCAGGGGAATGAGATAAAATACAAATGCAACATGATTTAGAATACAGGGAAAATATTTTTTGTCATTGAACAAAATCCCAAACCTTTCCATGCACTTGCCCACTCCCCTCCCCCCAAACAGTCTCTGGCTATCAAGAATTAATTACAGCTTTTAAAGAATCAAGCCCCCCATGTATTACTACTGTGTGTGCATGTGCAGAGTATAAATATGTCCTGGAAATGCACAAGAATACATTAAGCGGATTTTTTTCCCTTCAACACGATTACTTTTCGTATGGTTCTGAGAGGAAAATAAATCAGTCTTTTAAGTCTTGGGAAAACAGGGTATTTTTTGAGCTCTTTAAAAGAACATTTTTGCTAGGTTTTGACCAAAGGAATTTTCAGAGTTATATCTGGAAAAAAAAAGCGATGAAATTAAGAACCATTTAAATTTTTCTATTGAGAAATAACCCAGCCTGGCAATATTACTGCAAATTCCTCCCAAACACACACAAACTTTTACATGGTCATTCCTTTTTTCTCCTGTGCTATTTTTCCTTTCACTCTATGAGCTAAGCGGAAACGAGAGGGAAAGAATTGTAGTGGTAAACTTTAAAAAAATTTTAAATCCTTAACTAGTATTCCTAGTATCAAAAGCTGAATACTATTCCAAAATATGCCTAAATACCCAGGTAAACATGTAACAGTTGTTGTAAGAGAAGGCATCTGGGGGTTTCTCACTGAATTCTTGCTCAAGTGCAGTGTTTTAACTTCTCAAGGCATAAAAATACATCTGTGGCAAGTGCCTTCTTCAAGGTGTAAACCCCAGCAGACAGTATGAAACACATCTTAATAGAGCTTTATTGTGCTCCCTTTCCTTGTCCACCTTTGCTTTGTCTTTATCTCTTGCTGTCTCTTAGTTGCTGAGTTTTTTACTGTCATTCTCATAAGTTTTGATTGCCCTTTCTGTTGTTACTCTTTTAGACAGGCTTTCTCTGCCTCTGAATCTCCTCTTTATCTTCTGGGGAACATCCTTTCTGCTTGAGGGTTTTCTGTTCTTTGAATGATGATAGAGAAGGCTCTAGACCACGAGATCATGTAAGTGACTGTGACGTGCATGCACTTTTAATTGTGTGACAGCTGGGGACCCGGATACTGGGGCATTTGTCAAGGGGGAGTAGAAATGTGGCTGTACAGCTAAAGATTGTGCTTCTTGCCAGGGCTTTGTTGATCTCAGGGCTGCAGTAGAAAGCATGGAGACCCTGACTTGAGAGAGAGCCCTGTGGTGGCAGAAACTGCTGGTCAGTGGGTGAAGCTGCTGAGCTGCTTGTGGCTCCCTAAATAAAAGGACATAAGGTACAGGTGGGAGGGTGGCACAAGAGTATTGTGAGTTTTTTGAGAGACCTCTTGCTTCTTGCTTTTTGGATTTCTTACAAGACTTCTTTTTTTCTGTATGTGGAGGATGCCAAGCGTTTGGGTTTTTTCAGGTTGTGATGTTTTACATAACCGACTCCTATTTTTTGACACTCATAAAACACTTTGCCTTCTATATGGGCTCTTAAAATTTCACATTAAACAAAAATTGTTCACAAATACAGCATTGAGAATGATGGAAAGATCAGGTGCCTGTTTTGTCTCCTGCTGGGATTGTAGCTTGGAAATCTGCAGGAATACTTTTTGCTTAAAATTTTTTTCATAAGAATAATAGCATGTTCCAAAGGGTACACCTGATGCATTTATTCATCTCACCTGGCAAAACCTCCTATCCCATCAATATGTCATCACCATTTTTATTTCGAATACCTCTCAGATGTTTAAAAAAACCTTTGCCTACTATTCTTATACTAAGCCTATATATTAGTTAACTCTGTGGACCTGTCACATCATGTCTTGGAAAATTGATTATGAAAGCTGTGACATAGTGTTTCGTGATGCACTTGGCTACGAAAAACAGGTTTTAAAAAATGTATGCCATAAGAAAAAACAAAAATTAAAAAGGAAAACATTGGAGACTGTGGATTTTAAAACATATATAATTATATGTTTCCTGGATGCCTTTTGACTTATTAAAAATAAAAATAAGATTGAAACAAAGCAAGCATTTAAGAATGTGCCTGCAGCTCCTGTTCTCCAAGTAATTGAATACAGGATTTCTTCTCTAACCCTGTTCCAGCAAGAATATGCACTGCTTAGGTATTCATTTCAGTGGCATTGACAATACTGACAATATAATTGACCTAAAAAGTTCTGGATTTCCTGTTAATGCACTTTAGAAACGTACATCAACTACAAAAAAATCATTTCTATCTACATTTCACTTGATTTCCATTTTCAAGAAAGGAGGTTTCATCATTATTATTCTATTTGAATAGCAGTGATATCTTGAGAGATGGAAGGAGACTTCTATTGTATGCAGGAGTACTTTATTTCGATATTTTCTTTGTCTGATTATACATGATAAACACACATTAGTGACATTCCGTGCATGTTTTGAAGATAAATGGGATATCTCTTTAAACCATTCCTGACACTTCCTAACCTGTGGGCTTAATGGCATATTCTTTCTTTGATTCAATAATTTGTCTGTCAAAAAAGCTGTGCTGACATTCTCGTTGTTGTGGGACTGAAATGGAAAGAAATCTCTTATCTTTAAGATAATTTTTGAAAAATCGAGGAGAACATTTTAGGATAAAAATGTTTTAAAAATGATTTCAGTTGGAAAAAAAATGTAAGTGTTGACATTATACCAACTGCTAGATGGCAGGTGATAAAAGGAAGAATGTTATCTAAAACTGTAAGTCCCCTTGAATTAATTAGGGAATGTGTGAAATCTTAGAAATGAAGACAGTTTCTACTACTATGCCTTGCATAAGTATTAGTTCTGTCAAATAACTAGTAACTTTTAAAATAATGGACTATAGATGTTGCTAAAAGAGTCTGGTTTGCCAAACCTACGTAGCTTCTCTGTGTAAGGCAAATATTAATATGTGCATGTACAAACGAACATGTTCTTGTGTATTTATATTCTCTGTGGATGTATTTATATTTATATGAATATACTGGTGCACTGTCTATCTAAAATAGTCTAGTTGACCCTATTTTATTTACAGAACTAATAGAGAGAAGAGTAATTCACACAGGCTATGCAGAACCTTTTCATTTTTCCTAGCACAGTCTGGAGTAATAGGAAAGGTAAAGGGCATAAACTCTGCCTGAAACAAAAACTAACCCCAACTCTTCAGTTATATCTGATCAGGTGACATAGGACAATATTAAAGGCCAAAGGCTTGAACACTGTTATATATTTGTTGCAGCTGCTTTCCTGCTTTGGAAGTTTTCTCTTAAGTCCTGTGAACTGGCTCAATTCTGATTGCTGTGCATACCAGAATTTTCTGACCTCTTTTAAGGGCATGACACATGTAGCAATTCTAGTATTTTTCGCTCTTAAAATATTATGCTTTTATTAGAGGTGGATTAGGCAATTGGCTTTACAAGAGAATTGGCTAATTCTGAGTGTTTGATTGAGTACTCACGTCCTCCTTTCTTCGTTGTTTTCCCTGAGTTTCATTTTTGCCAGTGAGCACTCATCAGCACTTTTTCCATAGGATTTCTTAGAGCTACTGTCCAACGTGCCTCTGGCTGGATGGCTGGCTAACAAGGATTGATCTTGCACAAGGTGTCTGCCTTAATTTGTCTTTCCTGATGATTAGTCTTGTCCTGTTTACATTGTAATTGTGAAAGGCTGACCTGGTGACTGTGGGCTATAAGTTACAATTTGAGACTTAAGCTCCTTGGTTCACGATATGCTTGCAATGGCCAGAGAGCTCCAATGTGTTTTGAGATGCTTGTCACCATGGCAGACTTCAGAAAACTTGGGTGGTTTAATATATCAGCCAACCAGCAGACCTGCTGCCCCAATATGTGGAATTGATAGCAAAGAAACAAAAGGGATGCAGACCTGTTGTGAAGAATTACCTGGAGTACTTTCCAAGATTCATAACAAGTAGAGTAATCAGACTCTTACCTAACTATGCTCAAAAGCAAAGAGAGAATGTAGTTTCAGCAGCTGACATAAAGAAGATGAAAACCTCTCCCTCAAATAAGTTTTACCCTCCAAAAAACTGCCTACAGCCAAAATCAAAAAACTCTGTCCTAATGAAGATGCAGCTGTTCTGGACTTAAGGAAACCAGTTAGAGATCAGAACACAGATGTGAACTTTATTTTTGTGCTCAGAATTTGAAACTTGTCTCTCCTGTAGCTGAAACCTGTAAATTCTAGTTAGAGTGCTCTCCAGGTCACCTCTGACGCTTATGGGAGGGAAGCCCTTTGGTCAGTCTCACTCGAAGAGTTCATCCCGTGCTTGCAGGGTTGAACAACAGTTCTTGAGAAGTTCTAGGGATTAGCTGTTGTGGAATCTAATCCAATAATTTGCAATATAGCTGTATTTAGAAATCATGAGATATGTATTGCCAGCTCGATAGTCTGTTAAAGTTTATGGAAATGTCTGTGTCTTAACTCTGTAGCAGTGTTGTTCTGGAGTGTAAAGCTCCCAGTTGTGCTACTGTGCTCTCAATTAATCCTTTCATTGTATTATGTGATATATTTAAAATAGGAGAGTACTTTAAGGAAAGATGTTGATTTAAGAGGAAAATATGGGTTCTCCTAGTAGCAGCACAGAATCTAAAACCTGCAGTAGTATGGGATTTCATTGGATGGTTCTGAAATTAGTCATAGACTTCTGGGAAAGCACAGTGTTGTATTTCCATATGCTGTGACTTTTCCTTCACAGTTCTTTTTCATCCAAATGGAATGAAGTCTAAGGTCTGAGTAGTTTTGGAAAGAGTGTTACAGATGTGATACCTGGGGAAAAGGTGGTAGCTTTTCTTTTTGACAGTGGTGAAACTTGTGCCCAAGCTGAAAAATCAAATTCAGCACGCTATCAGCATTAAGAAACACTTGTTTACATTTCGGATGTCTGACAGTCTCTTTAAACCTAGACTTCACAGTTAAACAGCAAAATTTGCTGGTGGATTAATTGGTTGAGAATTTTTTAATGACAGTATCTAAGGTTAGGATCAATGTAAATGTTATTGTGAGCTTATCTATTTTTAATCTGTTCAGTCTGAACCAGAACTGGTGGTGTTTAGTTACCATCATCATGAAATAGTAGCAGTTTGTATATTAATGTCCTGTGGAATGAGACAAAAGCTGTTGATCTGATTGCATATTAAACTTTAAGCTACTATTGCAAGAGTGTTAAGAGATTCCATTGATGTGAAATGGCCTGCACAGAGTTGACTGATCTGTCTTTGCACAAACCAACTGGTGAAGCATTCAAATAAAATGATCACTCATAGATCCCTCAAAGAAGGAGTGGGGGAAAGAAGGGGGAGGAGGAGCTCCACACAATAAACAAAGCAAGAGCACTCAATCCTTTTCAAAGACTTATAAATATTTAATAATCATCTGTCTATGGCCAATCTAGAAAAAGAAATCTTTAACTTGACTGTTCTAAAGGTCCAAACCTGAATTTTAATTGAGGTGGTTTCAAAGTTCACATTACTTAGTCTGGCGTTTCCTTGGAAGTAAAGGCAACATTTTCCTTGGGTGGAGTGGGAATCTTTCCAAATGTAGGTATAACTGTAGGCTAATTTGGTTTTATGGTGGGCCAAAATAATGCTGCATGAGACAGTATTTTTTGCTACTGTAAAAACTGGTGACTTTAATTTTAATTGAAGGCAAACCTTGGCTGCTGAGACTATGTACAAAAATTGCTATGTGTGTGTATATATATATATGTTTGGGTTTTTTTAATGTGAAATAATATAATCTCTAACAACATTAACAAGTTTTTACAAACAGCCTTTATTCTCCCAATCCTTCTTCTAGGTTCTATCACTGAAGGCACCTGATTCAAGTGTCCCCTTGGATGAACCTCTCGTATCTCACACTAGCCAATTTTGACAGTCTAAGTGCTCAAATTGAGCCATTTTGTTCTCTGTAAAATAAACCCAGGCCCATTATATGTGATTTTTCATTCACACACCCCTCCCCTTCTCTTCATTTTCTTCCTCCTCTCCTTACTACAGCTCTGTGA